TGGGGAAAAAAACGCGCCTGATTTAAATGTCACACCTGAACGCTCACATCCTTTTAATTATGTTTGAAATTATGAACATTGCTCAACATCATGAAAATTAAACCTTATTTTCAATAAACAATCCTGAAAAATATTTGGGGGTGCTTAACTTTTTTCCAGGTGTATATTTATTATTTTTATTATATTGACCTTCCAGCTGTGCCTAGCTAACAATATAGAAGTTGCAATGATGTAGCGCACATGCACTCATCTTAACATATCCAATAATATATAACTGGCCTTTAGGCTTTACAAAGTGACTTATCTTAGCTGTGTTTTGGTGATCTGGTATTTTGTAAAATAGTCACATTTCAGTTATGATACTACATATATATGTAGATACATTATTACTATTTACAAATACATTCTTAACTAAATAAAGAAGTATAGCAAACAATTATCTCCTCTAGTTACAAACTTTTTACTTGTTTGCTGCTTGCCATAGGTTGCTAAGCCTTATCAAATTTCACACATGGAAAATATGAAACGAAATAATGTTTTTCAGGTTTTATATATACATTTGAAATAACCAAAAAATCATAAATTACTATATTGATTCCATAGAATTCCACTATAATTTATCAAGCTCAGTAACTAAGCTGTATATTTGGGTCTAAAAACATATGAAATTTTGAGCAGACTAAAGACTCACCTTATCAACTTGAAGTCTACTATCAAAAGAACGAGTTTGACGTCAAAATACTTGAAAAAGACTGAGAAAGCCACTAGGGGGACATTATGAGCTTTTGATTGGTTATACACAAGTCATAGACAGAAGTAGGTGTATATAATGTAGTGTTTCCAAAAATGGAAAGAGGTGGGTGGGGGCCACTGTTTGATTCAGTAAACATGGCAGTATCTCAGTAAATAGAAAAGATAGTATGTTCTTATTTTATATTCTAGCTTGTCTGAAACTATAGACTTTGTACTTGGACATCACAAACATCTAATTTGAACCAGTGCTGCATTCAACATTCCATGTGACACACAAAAATCAATATTTAGGTGTTGTTTCTTTATAGTTACTTTTAAATAAAAGATTAACTAATGTATAATACTAAAATCTGAATTATAATCTACAATTTGATACCAAACTTATTGACATAAATTCATTAAATAGTAGTTCGATAAAATTTTGAGTACAAGTTAACAAACACAATGACATGGCCTTTGATCCATGATGATAGGGTTAAGTAAGTTTAAAAATACATGTATTGTTGTGTTTTTTCAAACTTTAAAAAATGCCTATCAGTTGACATTAGGTTAAATAACTGAGAACACCAGTTGACATTTCAGACCCTCTTATGTCAGATTTGACATCATCATCCCTGAAAGATATTAAAGCCATATAGGAGTATTATATTTTCTCTAAGTAGTGACACTTGATTTATGTGCTTTCTGTCATTCTGATGTATTACATTCCAAAGACACTTCTTTCCTTAGAAGTGGTTTACCTTTTTATTATACTCCGAGTTATTTGTTAGATATCTTAAATAAGTTTAAATGCAGATGCTATATAGCTAACTGTTGATTTTTATACCTTTGGAATTTTGACAAGTTTCTTTCATAGTTGTATTATATTGAAAATATTAAAAGTTATGTTCTCTAAGCATTTCTCAAACAATTGATTTTAGTGGCTTTTCATATGACTTTCTTAAATTATTGAATTGAAGTTGCTATAATTGAAGATGTTTTTGTTTTATGAATTAGACATTACTGTCAACACTACATGACACTAAAAACACACTTTTGGAGGTAAACTTGCAAGTACATCGACTGGTTACAGAGTCAGGTTTGGCATCATCCCCCTTGAAAGAGGATGTTACAGCACTGTACCAGTTGTGGGATGATGTTTATGAACTGTAAGTAAACAACATGCATCATCTTGATTTATTATGAGTAGGATTTTTGTTGTAGTCTCATTAGATAGATGTAATAATTTTATGGAATAGACAATTTACCTGAAAGAACATGGGAGTATAATGTGCATTTAGAACTTAGTGCAAGGTCAATTTTACAAAATTCATAAATATGTATTATTTTATTGTAATTAAAAGGGTGCTTATCTTACACAATAATGAAAAATGTTCTTTACTGACATTACAATGTTATGTCAGTTTTGGGGAATATCACCAGTAAAACATTGACTTTTTTTTATAAGTTTAGTGAAATTTCATTGTAAAGCTACAGAATATATTTTTTATTAATTTGTTGTGATATTGGCTAATATAAAGATGAATTTCTAGAAAACCTCATACCAGTACTCTGCTTACCTGCAGGGTGAATAGGCAAATATTCACATGCATACCCCCCCCCCCACTAACATTTAAAGCTATTTTAGAAATTTTCATGTCATGGTAAGTATTATAAAAATTGCACCATATTTAATATCTATAAAGTATTAATAAAACTTTTATGTGAGTTGATACTTGCATACGAGTGCAGTCTGACTAAAATTCATCCTTGGGCTAGTGACTGTTCTATATACGTATAATAGTAAATATATAGTTAATGACTTGCATCTATAGTGTTAAGATATAAAGACATATAATTGAGTGCTACATTTCAGGACTGGTAGTCAGCTGACTGAGCTGCAGAATTTAAAGCAAAGATGGAGCAACAGAGGCAACCAAGATGAACCTCTAAAGGAGTGTTCTTCACATCTTAATGACACAGTACTACATCTGGAACAATCTGAAACCAAGGTTATACTTCTTTTCTTACAGTTAAAGCTTGGTTAAAATTTAACCAGTTTGAAAACTTCACTCTGAACCTGAGTTAACAGTAGCGAGAATTTTTTCTCTTGTTGACTAATACTAATGAGGCTTTTCATTCAGAATCAAAACTCATCAGAATAGATGGTGTTAGGTTATGGTCACATCACCATAGGTATATAATTGGCAATGTAATTGAAATATTATTGTAGAACATTCTTTAAACTCGTGTTAAGGCTGTCAAGAGTGGAGTAGTTAAGATTAATATCAGTTTAATTGAGATATTTTTCATTGTAATTATATTAAAAGTGACTGTGCTTCACTTATCTTAGATGTAATATACACTGTGAATTATTTCTTAATGGTTTAAAATTTATTCCAGTTTTTTTCAAAAACAGGGATTCTTCAAACCATTACTTTTAAAAATATATATATAAATTTTAGGCAAAGCCAACTTGAAACTTTTGCCTATAAACAATAACCATTTATTTTGAAAAAATATTTTACAACAATACTTACTTTAAACACTAATAGTATTAGACATTTTTAATAATTCTCAGACTTGGAACTAGCAGTGCTTTTATGTATGCATTCATCACCAATCTTGAAGAGCAGCACATTTACTGCTTGGGTAGGTAGATCTAATGTTTCCTTCACAAGTGAAGTGAAACATGAAATAAATCATTCAGGTGTATTTAACATGAAACAAATTAAGTATTATATATATTGGTTTTGAAATGAGGCCCTATATTCTTTTCATATTTTATTGGTTTCAAAATAAGTACTGGTATTATTTTCTTAATACATTGGCTTTAAAATATTGACTAGTATTTCTAATATTTGGTGCATAAATAATCAAATTCAATGTAAAATAATTTTGTTTAATATCCACTCAACCAATATTTGATGTGAAAAAAAAAAATCTGCCAAGGAAATGGCTAAATAAGTATTACAAGAAAGGATAATATTCTGATCCCTATTCTCAAAAAATTCATTTGAAATCTGAATTTCTCTTTAAACAATCGTAGGTCATCAGAAAGATCTGTGCATATATATATATATATACAGGTTGGTAAAATTCAGTAAAATAGAAAAACACTACTAGTCTCTAATTATTTTTATTGAGACACCAAACAAATAAAGTTTAAAACTGCAAGTTAAAACCAGTAACCAAAAACCTGCCATATGTTTCAATACTATCTGGTCTGATATTACAATCAAATGTTTAGTATTATTTATACAGAGTTCTAATCATTTGATAAAATCCTGCCATTTTAGTTTGAAGCTACTACAATACTATGAAACAAGTGCCAGAATTATATTTTTGAAGGAAATATACCAGGATAAATTTGTTGTTGTTATAATAGTTTGCTTTGGAAACAGTGATTTTATTTTCAACCAGTATACTATTATATTAACAATGACATTATTCATTTTGAAGCCATACTACTAGGCAATAATATTACAGCTTTTATTCTGTAGTCTTTATACTTTACAATCCCTTTTACCACCACCACCACCAGTGGTGTTCTATATTTAGTACAATTTCCACTGCACAAGGCTTTTACATGATACACTAAGGTCAGTGTTGTCCCCCCCACACCTATCTTCATATGATTTCCGAAGTTCAATCATGCACAGATGATTACTTCCAAGTGCCAATTTGAGCAAATCGAAATCACAGAAGACCATAAACAAGTTGGAAATGGTATATCATGAATTCCTGCTTCCATCTTATGGAAGAACTGGCATTTTAACTTGGATATGTAGCTGGATGCTTTGTCTTGATAGAGATGTACTTTATTGACATCCATTCCTTACAAAGATTGTATTACCTTGTGTTATAGTAATGTCAGACCATTAGCATGTGACTATGTCTCGATAGAGACGTACTTTACTGACATCCATTCCTTACAAAGATTGTATTACCTTGTGTTATAGTAATGTCAGACCATTAGCATGTGACTGTCTTGATAGAGACGTACTTTAATGACATCCATTCCTAACAAAGATTGTATTACCTTGTGTTATAGTAATGTCAGACCATTAGCATGTGACTATGTCTTGATAGAGACATACTTTATTGACATCCATTCCTTACAAAGATTGTATTACCTTGTGTTATAGTAATGTCAGCCCATTAACCTGTTACTATGCAACATTCACTTAGAATTTTGTCAACTCTCCTTATATTTAACTTACTATTATAGCTGTAACCTGTAACCACCACAAATCTCTTTGAAAAATTTTTGTGACATGCTATGTACCATTTTGGAAATGTTGTATACTTTAACAATGATAGTAAATTGCATAGAGTTTTGCAGACATTTATGTAAACATATGTTTTGTCCAGTGTGACAGTATACTTCCATTTTTCACATGTCGGACATCGCTTGTACAGCTTTAAGCAGTTACTCTTCAGTTGGCTTTAGTGGGAGAAGCTTTAATGTAACATAACTGTTTTGTTGCTTTTTTGAGCCTAGATGCATGTGAATCATCTTGTTTATAGTTCCAACAAAGGTTCTTACATTAGCTGCAATGTGTGACTGGTAGCAGACATGAAGTGGTCTGCTGTTTTCGTATGGAAGGTGTTGATTTTAAGCACTTACAAATCCTTACTGCATTGTGACAAGAGGATCAGGTCTTTTAACATGATGACAAGCCATAGTGATGGTCAGGGACAAGATGATTGGATATCTGTATTGTTATCTGAAGCCATTTAACAACCCTTTATGTACTTGTATTGTAAATTAACTGTACAAGATATTTTCAGACCTCCTGTTTTGATTTCTTTCTAATCAATTTTGAGAACATAAATTTGAATCAGATATTTGCATTGTATTTGTTGCAAACAGTATTATTTATGCTTGTGGAATTTTGGTTGTTATTAAATACATAAGGAAAGCTTCTCAGTTCACATCTAAAACAACAGGGCGTGTATGGTAAGGATTAAAGAGAAATTATGTTATTAAAGAGCTCGTATGCAGTTGAGAAAGGACAATGGGCACACTCAATCTGTATGAAATTGATTGACAGAGGTGAACTGATCAAAGTGGGTTTTGGTTGTTAGCTCTGACGTTTTTTTATACTTCTTTACGTTATATTGAAATAAAAAAAAACCTTATCAAGAGAAATGAAAATCATATGTACTGCACCCAGTATCATCACATACGTTTAATAATTATAAAAAATTTCTGTTAATCTATTGAAAGAATAAATATTGTTAAAATGAATTTTATATTGTGTTTAGTACAAAGATATTCCAGATGCAAAGTAATGTGAAACAATAATTTCTACAACTGTTGTTGATAAGTGCTTTTAACCAGCTTATAGTATTCTTAGTTTTTAATAAAATAAGCATCAGTGAAGAGATGGAATAGAAATGTTAACTACATATTTTAAAATTAATGTAAATTGTGTTTTTTAATTGTGTGTGTGTATGTGCAGCAAGCTTATTGCATCACAGCCACTTCATAATAAGTAAGTCCTTTATATGATATAAATGTTAGTTTAGATAAAATATAGTTAGGTTATTGTGAAATAAATTATATGTCTTATGAATATTTAAGTTAATATCCGGAAAATGCTAGTGCTTCTGGTAAAACTGAAACTAAATATCATTGCACTGTGCATAAGGATTGATGACAGCACAGATCATGATGATATTTCATTATTATAGATTAAAATGTTACTTGGAATTATAATACTTTGCTGAGAAAAATTCAGTTTATTTAAAAACTAGTATAAATTATGCATGATATATGGATAAGCAGTTTATTATAGATGGTAAGGTTTCCAGTTCCTTACTTCATAACTTTTTAGTCCTTATACAAGCATTTTGAGTAACTTCCTAATGTCGTACATAAAACAAGGCTTTTGTTTACTATTTGATAGGAATTGTTCAACCAACAATTAGCACTTGTTTGTGGGACATTGAAAGATATTTTACATTGCAGGTTTTGTTCAAAGAAATGAAAGGTCAAGATGAGAGATCGGTGAGTATTCCTCAGAGTCCTCCAGTTGAAAGCCAATCAGACATTGGAGGCTACCAGAAGATTAATACAGAAGAAAAGGGAATATGGTAGGAAAAATTCCTCTCTTTCTCTGAAGCTAATCACGCTAGGACAATATGAGCTAACTAATGTTGTAGAAAAATAAAGTATAGTTAATAAAGTTTTTCATTCTTTATTTTAATAAATGTAATCTATCTTTCCTTGTATGAAGCTAAATTAGCAACACGGGACCAGTTTGTGTAAAGTTGTGCTATCTTTTTTCCCTTTCATTCACATGTTACATACAGTAAGTGAAAAATAGAAGTAAAAAATTGTCTAATTTTGTACATAAATTCAATGAAATATTAAATAATTTATCTATTTTCAATACCTATTTTCCTTATTTCTTTCTTCTTTTTTTTTCTCAAAGTGTAAATTATTTCTGGGTTTTTGTGTGAAGACCGTTTTCAGAAATTCAATATTGTAATTGATTATGGATCAAAAATAATAACCTAAGAACATTGTACTATTTAATGTCAAATTATACTTCATTACCATAACTTGTTGATAAATTCAATTATCTAATAATCATCATATTTTTCAAGTAAAAAATTACTCTTATTAATTAGCAATTCCTATTAATCAAAGGAAAAATATGTTTCAGTCTTTACAGTATTCAACTTTTTAACTAAAAACCAGTATATGTGTATGTATGCTCATGGCCTGTAATAACTTTGTTTTATATAATGTTTTCTGTTCACTATATACAGAGTTGTCAATGGGTGTTGTTGCCTAGCTGCCTTCCCTCTAGTTTATCATTTCAAAATTAGGGATGGCTAGCACGAATAGCTCTAGTGTGACTTTGTGCAACAAACAAACATTGTTGATTAAGCAAATTATTTATGTTATGCATTAAAAAATATATTTTTTTAGTACTCATTTGAAGAATGGTCAAATGTTATGAATTTTAGTTTTGTTTAAACTAAAATGTTTCCCATTATAGTGAGTAGGTGAAACTTCATATTTTTGGATGAATTGGTCAATTATATTCTTGATGTATTTATTACAAATTCGTTTTTATTATAGAGAGGGAGTTATAAGAGAGAGATGCCTTAGAAAAATATAAATATACATAAATGTTTATGTTTACTCTGACCTTCAGTGTCACAAGTAAGCAAAATAATTCCTTCCAAAGTTGAAGTGTAGAATCATACACTAATTGTGAGCATTCGGCCCTCTTACCGAAGTCTTCATCAAGCAACAATTTTACATATTAATTTACCCATGTTATGAATCCAAAATTAAAGTATTGTGCAGCTATGCTAGATGACTTATATTTGCATAAATTAATACTTTAACTAGCTGTTTAACATTTTTCATGAAAGATTAATATCTATCTTAAACCTTCTCTGTTAAAAATTATTAATGTCATTATAAATTCTACTTAAAAATTTTCAACTATGATTAATAATGCCAACTTTAAAAGATTCATACCAGGTCAATACCTTGAATAAAACCTTTGTATTCAAAGTATATCTTTCATATACATCTTATTTAACTTTACCTTTTCATTTCATTGCAATTGTTCAAGATTTCTAGTCTTACTCAATTGATATTATAAAGTAAAACTACTGATCAGGTGTCTTAAATTGCTCCTGTTAAGATCTACATGTGTATGAAATATTTAGACATCACTGAATTTCTGTTTTTCTATAAATTCTCAGATAATTAATGTTTTTTTCAGGGTAACTGAGGTCATGCCTCTATCACCAACCTTTAGATCTGTGGCTACTTCTCCAGATCCGAGCTTAGAGACATCCCCATTCGTTACAAAGTGTAGAGCAGGCCAAACTCCCTTTTGGAGAAGAGTCATGCGATTTGCGGTCCCCATCCAGGTGGCTCTGGTTTTTTTATGCTGTGTGGCTTGCTTGTTGGAACCTCACTGCTGTGACATCCAGAACAACTTCAGATTCTCACTGTCACCACAGTTGAGATACATCCGTGGACCTCCTCCCGTGTGAGGAAACAAACCAAGGTTTTTACATTTGATAACCAAGGTTTAAATTTAGGTCTATATGCATCAGCACCCTCCCTCTCCTGTAGAAGTATTGGGTGGGGTTACCATGTGTAGTCCAATTGTACTACACACGTATAGGATAACAACCTTCCCCTGACTTCTGGGATGGAATGGGTTGTCCATCTATTCAGGCCACTATGATATCTTTAAAGAAAGCTGGCAGAGAAAATTTTGTAGTGCATGAGAGCTGTGGATAGTCATTCGTGCATGTTCCTTTGTTTTGAAAAATCATAGGAAAATTCAGTGTTACTGTAACTTGAGTGTCTCAGTAGATACGAATGAATGAATAGTACTTATAATGTTACATGAGTTTCATTTTAATTGTCCATCACATCAAGCTATTGAAGTTATCTTGCATTTAAGTTGAATCTATTACTACTTAAGATTTAGGTTATGGAGATAAAATAATTTGCAAATTTTTGGTTTAATTTTCACCAAAACATGGATAAATTAACTAGTGTTAAATTGGAACAAGTGACTTAAATTTGAGATGTTAAAATCTGAATAAGTAAAAATATGTGAATGGTGAATGTTATAAAACGTAACTGATATATTATAAGTTTTCCTTTTTTTTACACCTTTACCTGTTACAAAAATCACTTATGAAGATCAGTATTACAAGTCTTTTTATATATATATATATATAGGTTAAAATTATAAAAGTTACTTTATCTACTTTTGTCATATGGTTCTTTGCTAAGGCTGACTCATCATGTAACTGAAAAAGTGCTAGTAAAGACCACGTACTGAACAAACCAGTTATGTGGTGAGATTTGTATTCATATATATTTTTCTGAAGAAAATTGTAAGCCAAACAACTGCAGCTAAGGAAAATTCTGTGTTTTCGGTAAGATGAGAAGATGTAGATGGAGGTAATTAAGATCTCTGCAGAAAACAGTATTGAGTTTTAAGTTTTGATAGATAACTATGGTGCATATAATTAAAGCACAAAATATAGGACTGTACATTCATTATTTTGCTTTACTTGTTTATATAAACTTTATGCAAAAAGCCTGAATTTTAGTGGTATGTCCACTATACTATTATTACTTAAAATGAGTTGGTAAGAAACATGGTGCTTCATAAACCATTTAAGTGTAAAAGTGGTTGAATGATTACCAGTTTTACAGTGAAAATTACTGCAAGTAGTTATTTTCACATGAGAATAAATTAAAGAAGTGTAGAAAGAGATTTAAAAAAATAATTTTTCAATAGAAATTAAACAATAAGAAATGTAAGGACAATTGGAATAAATGAAGTTTTAATAGTTTAATATGTGTTTTTCATACATTTTCATTGTGTTTTGTTGCACTTAGGTATTTTTTTCCCAAAATTGTTAGTAACATTTGCCTAGTGTTTTTTTTACAGCTGTTCTTTATATTGAAGAATTACATGCTTATAAAATTTATTTTTAATTTATGTTTGTTTTGTGATCTGATATGAATGTTTTTTAGATAAATCTGTGTACAAAAACCCTCTTGATTTCATTTTGCACAAGACACGGAAAAATTAGTAATTAAAATATGTAGTCATTAGGGTTAACTATTAATCGATGTATGTCGTGTTATTATGGTTTAACAGATAAACATGTTGTGAGACTAGCTGTGTATAGATACCATAAGAATTATGTTCTGATTGATTAGCAGTTGATGATCAACTCTGATGCTCATATTAGCTGGTAATCAAATTTTTGATTAAGGCTAACAACGTAAAATGTGCTTAGAGGGGGGCTTGTGAATTATCATGGCTGTTTGAATTATGTGCCGAAACTTTTTCCCTCAAAAAGTATACCCTAAGAAGATTGTCATTATGAAAATTCACTATCAGTTCAGCCACTTGATGGGTGCCAAAAATTAGCACATAACTGAGAGTTTTTAGAGGACTAGACATCGATAAATCTGTTACCCATTTTAATTATGTGCACATTACATATTACCAAAAGGATTATAAATCATCAATGAAAGTGATGAAGATGTGTGGAGAAGCTTTAGTGCGCTGTATGCAATAACAGAAACTATTAACAAAGTTTCTGATAGGAAGAGCTTCCTCAGAGATTAGCTGTCATTGTAACTAGGGTAAAATGTTTACCTGTCCTTAGAAACTGCATTCAAAACTAAACTCGTGTGTTTGAATAGGTTTCAAGTTAAAATGTAGATAACTTCTGTAGAAATAAATAAGTTCTCCTGTAAGTGTGTTAAAGGAACATGATAAGCATCCTGAAAATTCTGCCTGTTCTACAGATATCTGTTCAGTTAGAGTGGTTCACAGAAAACCTGATGCTGTGAAGCATGTGGTTATTTTACTCTCTACTAACCTGTTGTTAATGTTATATATATAAACTTAGGTATAAAGCATTGCAGTAACATCTCTGCTGCCCATAAATTGCTTATGTTATATATCACACCAGCCAACAATATGTGAATTGTGTAGCTTTTGCAGTATAATTCATGTTACATATATAGATTAACATGTCTGTTGTTATTTAACTTGCATTTATATTAGTCAAGTTACAACATTTGATGTTAAAACTTGTCAATAAGTTATCCACCAATATAGGCATCTGTCAGTATATAAAAAGGCAGTTTCAGTTGTGGACCATATTTAATTTTTTTCTAGAATCATTTTAAAATGTTTCATTTTATTTCAGTTTGCTTATTTTGTTTTAATGTACATCAATACTACATCTGTAGTTTCTAGCTGGGTGTGGCCTAATGGTTAGCATGCCAGATTGTGAATCCAAGGGTCCATGGTTCATGTTCTATTACTGCAAAATCATGCTCCAAATTTTGGAGCCATGGGTGCTTTTGATTAGAGTTGACAGTGGGTGCTGTATACTAGGTGAACTTCCCTCTAATCTATCAGTTCAAAATTATGGACAGTTAGTCCTTGTGTAGCTCTCTACTAATTTTAAAAACAAAACTGTAGTTTTTAAGTAGAATCACTTACTTACCCCTTAAGATGATAAAACATTTGCACTAGCATAATTTACTTTTATTGGTGTTTAAACAAAGATTTAGCTAATTATGGAACTTTGTTTAACTAAATAGATAAGATCAGTAGAAAAAAGAAGTGTAATACATACAGAGGGAGTTATTATAACTGCTTTGTACTTGGTTTACAAGAGTATTTATGTATACAATATGCTAGACTTCTTGTGGCATAGGAAGTGAATTGTTATCCATAAAATTATCCACATGGTAAAGTTGATATTTTGGTTGCATACTCCCATTATGCCACTCAATTTGCTTGTTAATTTAGATTTTCCTGTTTCTCAACAATGCCTTTAACAAACAAAAATATTCTTTACTTGTGAACTTTTAAAGTTAAACAGTTTCCCCTGTTAAAAAAGCATCATAAAATGATATGTCAGTTTTTGTGTGCCATCTTTATATTATTGTGTTGTCCAAACTAACTGTTTAGATGTCATTTCTGATGTTTTAAATCTATGCTAAAATATCTACAACTATTTAGATTGTTTTGATTGTTTTATATTTTTAAATAGCATGTTGTTTAATTCAACATCAAAAATTAAAAAAATAGTTTTATAATCAGTTTTATTCATGTGTGTGTGTGGAACAGTGTCATATTATCCAAGAATCTTGATAAACAATACTTCATAATTTTCAACTACTATTTTAATGTGTATTTTAATTGCACATAACACCAGGACATACTTTAAATTACACTGCATAATTACCATGATGAAAAGTGAGTTTTTTGAGAGGAATAACAAAAGTTATTTTTTAATACATGTGATATTCATGGAATTTGTGATGACTTTAATAGCCAGCCTTTCAACAGTCAATCAAAAATTCTCAAATCATGCATCATTGCAGTAGCTTTGGATTTACGTTGTCATTTCTTTTTTATTCAAGCCTAAAAGATGTATCTAATGTATGCATGTTGGAAACTAAGCCAGTTGTAATGGTAAACCATGAAATAACTGTAAAGATGGAATTGAGTTTCTAAATTTAAAAATGTTTCAAAACGTGAACTTGGAATATAAACATATTTTAAAGAGTTATAGATTTATTTTTGCTGTTCTCTCTGTGTACAAAGAAAATAGGCGATGCAGGAATGATCCTAAGTCTTCTTTTTGCTAAAAATGTCCATTTTGTGTTGCACTTTTTTTAATATCCTATTTAGTGCCAGCTATTGTTGCCAATACTAATATCTTGCTAACTTAGCCAAAAGTTACTACCATCTCTGGTTTCCAATTTATCTCTACACTCCTTATTGTGTATTTTGTACAGATCTTTCAGAAATGTGTCAGTGAAGGGGATAAAGGTAATTATAGTTTTATCAGAAACAGTTTTGAGCATTTTTGGACATATACATATACATGGTGAGGCAGAAGTTACTATACATTTGTTGTGGTTGGTGATTGTATGGTTGGTACTGAAGAAAATATTACATGCACAGTTAAAACCAACTTATTATTGTTTTTTCAGAATAATAGTTAGAAAGTAAACAACTGTATAGTCACTTTTGCTCCACACTGCTGTACATGTGTGTGTTATTATTTGAAATCACAGTTTTCTGATATAGTAATAGAAACATTTTTTTTAAGTATGACACAATGCTTAAATAATATTTTAATCACTAAACTATAGGGTAGTTTGATGAATTTCACAATAAAACTTGATAAATCAAAATAACTCATTATATGCTTAATTGATCAGGCATATATATATAGAAAAATACTAGATAAGAAACAAAATGTTTGATTAATTTATGAATCTGTTAGGTAATTATTATTATTCACATTATTCATCAAATGGAAATCTGAATTCAAATGTATAAGCTTGATTCATAATTAAGTTTTTAAAATATCCTACACTACAGATCTAAATCTCCCATATTTTAAACTAAACCTCTCAAATTTTTCTGTTTAATAATACCTTTATAGTTTTAGCTTTCCATTCTTCCAAGAATTAATTTAATAATGTATGGAATGGAAAAACAAGGAAAGAACAAAGTAAAAGAAATCTATATCGATTATATAATTAATTATAAAGTAAACTTTAAACTGAATTATAATGCACAGGCTACTTTCAGTTTTTTCCAGCAAACTGTATTTTTTAAAAAGGCTCAATTATAGTTTATCATAAGTTGTAGACATCACTAATATTTTTCAAGATGTCTTCAGACATCATTTTTATGAAGTTGAGAGAGAAGTATCTTGTAATTGAAATGGAAGCTGATACAACAGTTGACAATCTTTATGATCTATTTCAGTTGTACAAGGGTTAATACAACTAAGCAACCTCATAATTACACTTTCTCTAAGATAACTTTTTTTTAGCAAAAGTGTTAAAATAAAATTTTCCTCCATTCAACTTTAAATATGATAAGATTTGCTATTAATTTGAAGTAGTTCTGCTCCATCTGAAACCTTTGATTTGAAGTTTTGACTTATATTTCATCAGGGTAATTATGCAGTTTTCTTGTTCAAACTAAACCACAGACTTCCTTTTAGTTGAACCGTAACCAAACTCAGATTGCTTAACTTGGAGGATAAACTTCCACTGTGTCTGCCATATTCCAGCTGGTCTGAAGGTTTCATTGGCTTTGTATATGGCAAATATGGTATAGTTCTTTACTTTTACTCAGAAGTCATTATTAATAATTATGAGTCAACTGGTATGTGTTTTTCAAAAGGCACAGAGAATTTCATTCTTAACATTTTTAGATTAAAAGCCATATTTTTATTAACCCTTTATTTTGTTATTGATAGTTTAATAGTATTAATTTTAAGTTTCTCTAGTGTATGGTAGTCCAAATACAAGTAACAGTGTTCACATGTTTACATTAAGTTATTTTACATGAATGCCACTCTTAAGGTTTTGGCTGAGATCAAGATAGTATACCAACATTTTATTTTCTTTGGTTTTTTAAACTTAAGAGTAAAATATATTATTAAAAGTGTAATTTTAGGACATTTAAGACGCATGCTAAATATTTTGTGGAGAACATAACACGAATTCTAGAACTGAAATTGAATGTCTGTTAGAAATTCTTACAAAATTTTGGTGTAATTTATAATATTTGCAACATATTGAAATGTGTGAAGAATACTTAAGAGATGGGATTTGTTTTTTATGACATAGCTACGAATTTTGGTGAAAATGTGTACAAAACATTGCAATTTAATTTGGAAATGTATAAGATATATTCAATACATGATATGTAATAGTTAATGGAGATTTAATAATTTAAATTGGAAATAGCTAAAGTGAGTGCAGTACAAGTTAATGGAGATTTAAGAATTTAAATTGGAAATAGCTAAGGGGAGTGCACTACAAGCTATATTTATTATTAAGGAAGATGTCAAAATTTAAATTGGAAATAGCTAAAGTGAGTGCAGTACAAGTTAATGGAGATTTAATAATTTAAATTGGAAATAGCTAAGGTGAGTGCACTACAAGCTATATTTATTATTAAGGAACATGTCAAAATTTAAATTGGAAATAGCTAAGGTTAGTGCAGTACAAGTTAATGGAGATTTAAGAATTTAAATTGGAAGTAGCTAAGGTGAATGCAATACAAGCTATATGTATTGTTAAAGAAGATACCAGAATTAATACTGGAAAAAGCTGAGGTGAGTGCAGTACAAGTTACATGTATTGTTAAGGAAGATGTCAAAATTTTCATTGGAAATATCTGAGGTGAGTGCAGTACAAGTTACATGTATTGTTAAGGGAGATGCAAGAATTTAAACTGGGAATATGATGAGCTACCTAACAGTTCATGAAGAATCAATGGAAGTTGTAAGAATGAGTGGTGTAAGTAAGCCAGCTTGTGTAAAATTTTGTTGGACTTGCAGAGAGCCTTTAGGCATGCATTAGTAAATTCAACTGTAAAATTTGAGACAGGAATTGTTATATGAGGCGTGTATTAACTTTATAAAGTGTGGATCATAGAATGAGATTTGGTTTTTATTTGAAAATTGAAGAGTTTGTGTTTTATCAAAAACGTTTTTATTATTTTACTGGTTTTCCATTTAATTGCTCATATAAACTTTTGCAAATGATAAAAAGTCAAAAAATATTTTAAGTACTTCAGTACAGGTACTACGACAATGAAAATTGGTCTTAACTTCATGATTCATTTATTACAAATCGTAATGTTATTTATAAATTTCATCATTACATTGTAATTAAATCCTGTTTTGTAAAGATGTCGCCTGTAAACAAATGTACAAAATTAAAAGTTGGGTGGTTTAAATTTAGACAGTTTCTTTATTTCTTGGGGGAAGGCTAGAACAGTAACAGGTAAGGCTTGGAAAGGTTGTAGGACTTCTTTAAGACATGTAATATGTTTAATTATTGATTTATGATAATTAATTATTGGGTAAAAAAATTCAAAAGCTCAAACAGTTTTAATAGTTTACTAATTATCTCTTTTTTTATGAGACTCAAATTATAAGAAAAACAAAAGACTGATTTGGGACCATTTATACTTTTTTACATTTACGGGTAAGTTTATCGAGAATTTGCAAGAACTAATTTTATCATTTTAGATATTTTTAATGGGGGTATAACAGGTGTTAATTATTGATCACCTGATGTGCGATTTATGTTATACGTAATCACTTTTACGACCTTTTTTTTAATGTTCTATTAATCATTTAAAACACGTTTGAATATATACAGTAAATAATAATCAGTGAAAAAATGTGTTTGTTTTGCCAAGTTTGAAACTTACAAATTACCTATTAAAAGGTTTTAATTATTAAGGTACTTTCTCTAGTCAGAAACAACAGATTGATAACAATTTGAATATCATAGATTTAACATTTTTTTTTTCGAATAGTTTATCGAAAGTTCTCTTAAAAACTATAAATGTATTGGAGTGCTTATATATATATAAATATTTTTTTTGTTACTGTTGCTTTTTCTTCCCACATTTGTGCCTGTAAGTACCTTTCACACTCAGAACTTCACTAACATATATTATCTTTAAGTCTTGTTACTTCTATTGTATTTTTGTACTTCTGGACAATCTAAATAAAATTGACGTTTTTCACGTAAATGTGAATTATTTGGTCTCATCATTGCTAAGTATAAAAATTATAATTTCCTTGAATTAATAGTATGAATTTTTTTCAAGCATTTTTAGTTTTGGGGTTGATTTAAGCAAAAGTTTCCTGCTCCTAACACTAAGACTTTATTGCAACAAATTAAAGCAAATGAACCTAATGCTTAAACAAGTTCTCATTAGCATAAACATTCTATGAAAATTTAAATATTAGAAACTGTCTGTTAATTAAAGTCCTGAGATACAAAAATATATCATTATTCGCTATTATTGAATATAATGTGGCATTGAATGAAGACCTTCATAATTAGTTGTTAGTAAGTCATTATTACCAAAATTAATGTAATAATAATCGTCATTTATAACTACCTTTTGTTTCATTTTTGGATTCATTGTAATAGCACGTAAAGTGAAGTTATTTAAATTTCATTCTAACTGATGGGAAAGTCGTTGTTAACAACGTAAAAGTAGCATTTACTATTGAAAGCTCTTCACAATTAACTGTTGAAAATTAACTAAATGGCTTTATTCAGAATTTGGTCTGACTGTTTAGGAGTCTCTAAGTAGCTGCAATATAGTAAAGCCTATTAATAAAAATTTAGTTCTATACTGACGACTGAACACTTTATTTATTTGGACTTCACCTAATGTTAGGTTGGACCGACTTTAACTGCGATTGTATCCTGGACTCATTTGGCAAGTTCTCTACAACTTGCCTTGTTTGGTTGTAGTTGCCGAGGGACATTGGTTACCAGGAAACTATGGTAATGAATGTGATTCAAACTCATCTCAAAGATTGACGCTTGGATTGAGACCCAATGAATATGTTGGCCGAGCGAAAGTCACTGCCTAGCTTCTTAAACCAACTTCGAGTAATAATGTGAATTGGAAAAGTTGCTATACATCAAGACGGAGATGATGCATTGTAAGGTGAGCATGGTAAACTAAGGTTCGAGTTCACATTCATATGTTTTTGTTTTTTTTTCGCATATTTTTCTTATCATCAGTACATAAAAGGACAAGACGTCACTCATCAGATCATATTACAAGCTTCCAGCTCGTCATTCTACACATTTTGTATCCAATCGTTAGTGAAGCCGTGCTCTCTCCTGTTTACGTTTGAGATAGACACTTTTTGGACCACCATATGAATACTTTTCATAACGTCCTTTATATGGTACAGTTGAAGTCAGTCGAGTCCTGATATTTGTTGAAAGAAGTGGCCAGTTGACAGCTGTAGTAGCTTACAAACCTGTGCAATCAATTTTCTTTTTCACAGTCAGTTACCAACAATTGGCAACCATAGTGACATACATATTCCATTTTGATTGTCAGTATTGCTAGACTGATAACCAATGCCTTTAAATAGATTGTTAAAGAAACAATATTTGACAATGATGCTTCTGCTAAGACTAGCTTTTACTAATATAATATTCTACGGTTCACTGATTTTCCTTTGAATAATCGGATAGGAGTCACAGAATAACAGGTAAATATTTTCTGGAGCAAAATGTGAATTCCTGGAACTCGGCTGAGATGTATAAAAAAAACAGAACACAAGTTAAACACAGTAAAACATACTTTCAATAAACCTAATCAAATTTCAAACAAATGAATAGCGTCTTTAGTTAAGAACTCTCAGTGTGTTAAAATCTAAATAAAATAGCCACATGTTCTGTAACACTTTAAATCTGTTAAAATCTCATCTTAAATCTTGTTTCGAACTGAGAAAACAGTATTATATACAAAAAACAACAGTGGAATTCTTTGCACTGGTACGAGTGCTAGTTACATAACTGACAGTCACTCTTGCTACAGAGTAAGGGATGTTGTGTCTTCACCTGACCAGCCAGTGGACAATATCGCCTATTTCTGTATGCAAAATCCTATGTCACGGTAATCTTTTCTACAAGAAAGTGTATGTGATATCCTAGCAGAATGGCCTAGTTTCCTGATTAACTAGGGTACTAGGAACTTGTCTCTTTTATTCGATGTTTTATATTAAAACCACATAAAAAGTTTGTAGAGAATATTAAATAAGGGGGAGGAAACACATGGTATACCTGCATATACTGTTTGTAATTTTGAGGGTCAGACATCTTTGCTCTTGGCATTGACTTTCAGATTAACCATGATATGACTAGATCTCTGCTTGTATATGTAGGACTTAATTTCATGATCAATCTATTTTACATATGCAAAACATTTCTTATTCTAAAATGGTATTAGTGGAGAGTCTTAAACAAGGTGATCATAGTGAGTATTCTTTGGGGGGAAAAAGGTTAATGGTCTTTGCTTTATTCAGCAGATGTGTTTGCATTTTTTCTTCCAGACTACTTAATATGTTCAACTAGAATTACATTTTTGGCAAAATCTGTAATTTATCTTTCGGTACAAATTCAGCGTACATATTTTCTTCTCCAACCAAGTACAATTTAGTTTAAATGCATTAATTATAATGTAAAAAAACTGTAGTGCCAGTATTGAGGTTGGGTACGTTATATAAACGATTTTGAAATCTTGCAATGTCATAACAGTCTATGTCACCACATCTGTCATGCTCTATCTGAGGAACATGAATCTTGACAAAGTCTTGCAGCGTAGCTTCTATTGTAAAATGCTATATTGTAAGGTTGTCATATCCAAAGCACAATACTCCTTCATATATTCTTTCCACAACAATTTTCCCATAGGCCATTTCAACAATCTGATTTCACAGAAATCCATAGGTGCTGCATCCAGCGTTTTTGTATAAAATAGCATGAATACTCCCCATTCACTCTCCAGCTACCTGACATATGCAACAGTTAAACGGAAATGTGACGGTGAGCCTTACATTGGTGAACTCGTACCCTACTGACATCATTTCCATACAAAGCAAACATTTCTCTGTGGTATAATGGGTCCCGAATATTGGTCTGATAGTAAGCAGAGCTAACTTTGACCTTTGTATCCACTCTCCCGATCCTTAACTTGCCCCTGGTATAGTATCCAGTAATAATCATCAATCACTTCGAAACATTTTCAAGACATACCTGTGTACTACTTTTTGAATTTGTTTTCAATGATTTATCAGTGGAAAAATCGCTGAAGACTTGTTTCAGTTATCAAGGTACAACTATGCTTCTTCGAGTGTCATCATGTACTGTGATTTTTCTCAGTCTGTATACTATTCTTAGACTTTTATAGAATTGGGCTTCATTTCCTTGATATATCGTAGAAGCAGCTTGCTTGTGTACACTGTTTGTTTATTATGGATTTCGCGCAAAGCTGCACGAGGGCTATCTGCGCTAGCCGTCCATAATTTAGCAGTGTAAGAATAGAGGGAAGGCAGCAAGTCATCACTACCCACCGCCAACTCTTGGGCTACTCTTTTACCAACGAATAATGGGATTGACCATCACATTATAACGCCCCCCACGGCTGAAAGGGCGAGCATGTTTGGTGTGACGGGGATTCGAACCTGCGACCTTTGGAATGCGAGTCAAGCGCCGTAACCACCAGGCCATGCCGGGCCTGCTTGTGTACACTGGAGTTGTGTCACTTTTCCGGGTGAATAATCTTGATTGCATTGCGTACTGTTGCCTTGAGTATGTAAACAGCTTTTGCCGCTATCCTTTCTCTTCATGGATTCTCATCTGTTACATAATGACACAATTTGCTAACCATGGCTGAGGTACGACTTGTTTCAAGTTTCTTTCTTTATGGTCTTGGTGGCTCAAAATGATCCATATAGGATTTGTATAGCAATGGCATTAAGTACAAAGAATACCTCCGTTTTGTAAATTTTAATCCGCGATCTGAACACATCTTTAAGATTTCAAAATATGAATATTTTGAATCAGAAAAGGCTATACGTACAATTCCAAAAATCGATAAATTTTCTGTAACATCACACTATCTACGCAACACTAAACTTTGTCAAAATTGAGTTCTGATACCATCCGTTCCACCATGACTTTATATGGGCTGTGATTGTCACGTGTTTTGCTGGTTCCATATTCAAAATCATTTTAATTCAACTCACTCAACCCTTTGTAACTACACTTTCTATCAAGAACAACTTTTAAAATTGAATATTATTTTTTATAGATAAATATTGACCCCTCTAAAAGAAGAAAAATAACATAAAGATGCTAGATAGACTCTAAATGGATCTGTTTAATATAGTTTTTAAACAATAGTCAATAAAACTACTCACAGTTACCTTCAAACTCTAGTAGAATTTTACGGGAACATAAGTTATTTTTCTCAGTGAATGCTCTGATTTAGTGGTTCACGATACAACTTCAAGACAATTTATATCTATTATACTGCTAGCCCTAAATTTTCACTGGAAAAACATTTTTAGTTATTCTAGTACAACAACAAAAAAATTGCAAATTCAACATTTTATGAACGGAAAATTGTTCGTATTTAAATCTTTCACACTGTTTTTAGGCTCATTGGCGGCCAAACTGGTAGCTACACTTTTAGCATGGATAAGAATTATACAGCTGATATTCATTCATTAGTTAGCTAGGCCGCGTATTATATTTTACCCACCATCATGCTCAAAGTTGAAAAAAAAACAAAAAAAAACCGTGGTTTGACTAACCAGTGAATGAATATTTGTTGTAAAATTCTTATCAATGCTATAAGTGTAGCCACCAGTTTGGCCGCCAGTTTTTATTTAATTTCTTTAAGTCGCACGCTGAATCCTTTTTTGGTCGCACCTTTTTTCACACCTAAAGTGTTTTTGATTAGTTCATGACACACTTCCCTCTAGTCTTACACTGCTAAATTAGGGACGGCTAGCGCAGATAGCTCTCGAGTAGCTTTGACGCGAAATCAAAAACAAACAAACCACGGCGGGGGTGTAGCATCTAATTAGCAGCGTAATATGTCGGCATGGGCGCTGGAAATAACTTTACATTTGTGGAATAGAGAGCCGTAATAAAGGTCACTAAAATAATAAAATAAATTATAACTTTCCTATTCCTGTATTGGAGTGTATGTAT